TTAATTATAAAAAAAAACTTTGATTTCTTGTAAAATATATACTTCTTTTACAGTTTTTGATAAAAAAAACTTTACCTGAGACTTTAGCAATCAATAATTTTTGTTAGGATAGACTTCTTAGTCTTCAAATTTCTTAAATAAAATGCTAATAATTTTAAGTTCCATTTTTACAATAAGATAAAATGACCTAATTTATTTGGAAAAAACGTCATTTAAAAAAAATTCTTTTCAAAGTTTGAACTTTTTTAATAAAACTTATCAAATGTTCTGATATATAAAAAGAATACAAGTTCATGATGTACTCCATGCAGGTCGTTACGAAATAAATCTTTTCCAAAGCAACGCAGCTGAGGAAAAGTGCTCAAGTTAAAAGAAGCCGTGCAAGAAGTCGTCTCGACTCTTTCGTACATATCGACAAATGCAAAGCAGCAGGCAAGGCCATTAGAGGGGCAATTTTTCTAAAGACGGCACGAAATAATCAGAAAAACTTTCCTGATAATAAATCACGCGAAACTTAAAAACTGCCCACAAAGAAGAAATAAATTTAAAAAAAGCAGCAAATTCATAAAAATTGTTGCATTTGTCAAGATTACAAAAATATTTCTTGGGCCAAAAGTATAATTTTTCGGCGGAGAGGGTGCATAAAATATTATCGCCTCGGTCGTGTTTCTTTTCTCTTTTTTCCTTTTGTGTGCTGAGAGCAAAGGTCAAAATGCGCTGCTGGCCATTTTCCTCTCTCCATTCTCGCACACACCCCATTTAGGGCTTCTTTCATTCTTGCACGGTCGGATGACGAGCCGAAAACTCGTGTTCGCAAATAACTTGCCGGACTGTGAACTCGGAAATTGCCCAGCTGGCCTCATTGTTCGCAAATTAGCCGGCCAAACTTCTTCCATCATTATATTTTCACAGCGAAAACTCATTTTGGCGAGCCACACAAAAAATAGTGACCCTCTGCTCGCAACGCTCCATAAAATAAAAAGATTGTAGGACCATAATAACGATAAAATTCCGCTACGATATGCGTGTTAGGAGAATTGAATTAGAAAAAATTATATCTAAAGCTGGTAAATAGAATTTTGTGGATTTTTGGAAGCAAGGAATTAAGTTTAAGGCCATTTTACAAATGTTTGTTAAATTTTGATGAAATTATAATAATTATAATTGCTGAGAAATTAATTATCAGTAAAAATTTGTCAATTTTATAAAATTTTTCTTTCAAATAACATTTTATAAAAATGTTATTTTTTAGGTGAAAGTTTAATTCGTTTGGAACCAAAATTTATTAAAATTTTACCAAAACACATTCAAATCATCCAAATTAAGGTGGGAAAAGAGAAACGATTCAGTAACTATTTTTATTAGTTTAGACAAATCATAACGAAAGCTCCTTATGATTTTACACTTCTAAAATTGTATTTTACCAAAATTTTTATCACTCATTTTTGTAATTTTGTTTTATCATAGTCATGACATCGTTTATATTGTAGATTTCTAATACTTTAAAACCAATGGTAATGATAGAAAATATTTACGAAAAAAATCCCAACACAAGAACCCGTTTATCGAAACACTGAACATTTTAACCCACCTGTGGTCAATTTGAGCGACTAATTAAAATCCTTGTGTTTACCATAGTCGCGGAATAGTGAATTTTTATTCGCTATATACTCGGACAAACAGACGCTTAATTAAACGCAAAAATCGCGAGCGAAATTTCAATTAAAGCGGCCGTGCGTGAAAACGTGGTTTAGCGTTCGACTCATTCACGTACACATTCATTTGTGCGAAAAAAAAGACAGGAGAATAATTATCTCGGTCGGTCGGCTTTTGAAACGCACGTCGCAGCCTTTCCGTCGCAAACAATTGTGCAGGAATAAACACGGCTGGCTCGTCTTTCTTATCGGAACTTCCGCGACGACGACGTTCCTGATCTGCACAATGGGCCTGCAACTCTCTCGTCGTTTTTATTTCAAACACACGAATTTGCTGCTGCGTTCGTTGCTGTTGCAATTCCCGATCGGCCTCTCCATGCCCACTTCAAAATAGGGCTATTCGAAATTCGAATTTTGTGTCCGAAATAAACATGCAAATTTTGATGGAAATTAGTGGTAGTGATTCATTTTAATTTTTTTTTACTAATAGAAACCAAACAAATTATTCTGAATTTTGGTTCTATAGACTTCAAATTAAATTTAAATCCAAAAATTTTCATATTTGTAAACAAAAAATATTATTATTTACATGGATTTTGATAAATTTCTCTCTTTTTTATAGCAATTATACTTGATAATCAAAGTTACAATTCCTCCATCTTTACATAAAATTTCAATATTTCGATGTAATTGCGCACAATTTTTCTTTATTTATAAATAATTCCTTCTTTTTTCGTTCAATTTTGAATAGCCCCGGACCGTTGCGTGGCGCGTCCAGCTCGTTCTTCCCTTTCCCAATTCCGAGGCCCTCAGGAGAGCTACTTCTACTTTTGCTGCGGTTCGTTTTCGGCCTGTTTTGGGCGCTTACACTCGACTGCCCTCGGTCGCAGCTCATTCAAGCATTTCGGAGCCGGGCGAACACTCCAAATCCAAATAACCCCCAAGATAATTAGTCAGACCATTAGTCCGAGTGCTGCCCCTTTTTTCACTGAAAGTAGTTTTCGCTGCAGCAAAAGTTTGATTCGAATTTTTCAATTTTTATTTTCCAATATAGATTAATTCTCAGTAAATTTCTTCTTTATTCTATTAATTTTTATAAAAATACAAATTAAAAAAAACATGCGACACGTGCAATTAATCATTTAATTTGGATTTTTTGTTTAATAATTTCATGTTTTTTTTTTTTTTTACCAAAGACAGATTTGTGTCGCGTGCATATATTCCTTTTTCGGTATTAGTCGATAAGATCCGGTGCGAAGATGGCTGGCGGGATTTGCTTGCTTTTGATGTCTCGCACCCTTTCATATCTACACGTGCTCTCTCCACACTTTGCTCGCACTGAATGGTGCTTTTCTCGGCTCCTTGCCTGGGCAAAAAGAGGAGGAAAATTTTAGCGTGAGACGTGCAGTACACACGAGCGAGCGAGAGTGACACACAAACAAAAAGCGGCAGCGACCCTACTCATCTCGGCGCCTCCTTTGTGCGCCCCCTCAGCACGCGCTCCGATAATTATTAATATCTGCGCTTTCATTTCCAAAGCGAGCACAAGTTCCAAAACCAATCAAGGTTTCTCCAGTGAATAAAAAGTGTGCCGGGAAATGGTACAGAGATGTCAAGTGAAGCATCCATCGTTAACTAACCAAACAACAAACACAGCAAATTGAAGCGTTTTAGGTCAGGAGTGCCATGAATTCACCAATGGAAATGAGATTTCATTTGGTTTAAAATGAGTAAAGATTTTGAACTATGCAAAAAAAATGTTAGTTTTTTATTAATTTAAAGATACTGTTTTTAAAGGATTATTATTGAACGATAATTAAAGACTTTGTATTTACAGTCGTTCAAAAAGCTTTTTTTTAAACAAAAATATATTCCATAAGCTTGCTCAAAAAATTGAAAATTATAGCTCTGATGCTAAATACTTTGTGCATCTTTTGGCAATCTCGGATTTTTTGTCATGTTGCCTATTATCAGGAGGCGCAAACTTTATATTTTGACCTTTCGTCAGGGTCAATGACCTACGACCTAATAACTTGGTGCCTAGGAAAATATACCTTTTTTTATTAGCTCTCCAACCTCCCATCAAGAAAATTAAAAATATTTACCTGAATTAATTTAGCAGCAGTTTTTGTAAACCCTTCATTATCTCTGGCGGCCATATTTGAATTGGAAAATATATGAAAAAATTTAATTACTTGGGTAGTTTAAGTCAGATTTAAATACGACAATACGACCTATTATAATAATTAAAAATAATTATTAACAATTTTAATAAAATCCGATTAAGAATTCCATGAAAATAAATCATTTTTGTTCTTCATTCCTTTGCCGATTGTCGTACGATTTGGATAAAAGCACTAATAACAATTTGAAATACAGAGATGCACCATACAATATTGTTTTATCGCTTCGTCGCGTAAGTTTTTCTCACTTCAGACACAATAAATTCATAAGTGGGGTGGTGTGTGTGTGTATCTGTCTTGAAGCGTGACAGCAAATTTGTCACTGGCGCGACCTTTCTTGTGCTGCAATTTCTTCTTCTGCAGCCGAACGGAACATGACAAATGAGTTCGCGCCGCGCAATTAATCAATTTTAATTCCGGGGGACAAATCAAAAGGCGCGCACAAGTGACCGACGAAGAAAGAAAGAAAGGCCGAGGGGAATAAAAAATTATCTGCATTCGCCGAGAGGAGCAGGAAAGCGAGCGAAAAATGATGAGTGGACTCTCGCTTTTTATCTCCTTTCGGCTGCCTGAGAAATCGATCGACGTCTCTTTTTATCTGCAATCGCCAGACAACTTTTGTAAATTAGAATCGATGAGCGCAGAAATGCTGAGCGCGGAACCTTTTTGCCGCGCGATGCATTCTCTCTCTTGCCACGCCAATCTTTTTATTAACCCGCGTTCAAACTGCTGGAATAACGTATTGATTTCTACTCAAAATTGATGGAAACCACAGACCAGAAAAGATGCAATCTTTTCGTTACTTTTTGCACACTAAAAAAAAGGGGAAATTGAAATTTTCGATACAGTTTATGGTGAAAATTTAAAAAAATCAAATGAAATATAATTGTTAAAATTGCTTGGATTCCAGCAATTCAGAATCTGCATGAATGTGCCATTCCAAGCATAACAATAGAAAGATTTTAGTTTGCAGTTTTATAAAGGGTTTCTTTATGATTTTTTAAAATTACGGGAATATTTTGCATTACTTTAATAGAATTTTCAAATATTTTCCCTTTAGGAATAAAAAATTTACAACTTTTATTGAAAGTTTCCAAATAGTTCTTAAGAAAATTCTTTATAGTTTTCCAGGCTGACCAACTGCATTTCTCTCTTTTTTTAGTGTTAATTAACAAAAAAACGCCGAGGTCAATAAGTCGTTCAGAAGATTGCAACTAAGTGACTTTTGACCTGCCCTCTTTTATCTTGGCTGAGACTTTTGAACAAAAACATTCAGTGATTCTCAAGCAAGATGCGGGCTCGACTTCTGCTGCTCTTTTCCCTTTCAATTTTTAGCACAAATGAATCTTCAAAAGACGTAAAGTATACAGATTTTTTGCTTAAATTTTTATTCGTTTTGTTGTTTTATAAAATAGGAGGAATCGTGCCAATTTTTAACAGACGAGTGCGCATTAGCTTGGGAGGTTGTAAATGACTAAAGCTGATTTTTTTTTTAAATTTCATCCTGGTTTTTTTTTCAGATAGTGAAAAGTTCAAATGCAAAACTTACTAGGATGGACCGAGAATCGATTTTAGAGCAAACTGAAAATCAACTGCTCTTGCAAGAAGTGAAAGTTTTTCTTAATTTTAATTTATATAATCCAATATTTTAAGCTTTTAGATTTTGGAAAGGACGAACAGAGTTGAAAATATGCTGGAGGTTTGCTTTAATAATTTATTCACTTGTATGTGAGGCTGAATTTTATATTATTTCGATGTTTTAGTTAGTTCTTGAAAAAATTGCTCATGTGGAGGGAAAAAACTCGCCTGCACCGGTAATTAGAAAATTGTTTTAGATATAAATTAATGCTTCAAATGTATTAACAGATGAACTTAGTCCAGGAAGAAATATTCAACAGATATGACGGAAGTAAAGACAAATTTATTCAAATTATAAAAAATAAATTGTTTTTAAGGCAGCTTCATGTTGAAAGTGCTGCCGAATGGAAAAGGTTTCTACGTGAGCAGCTTTAAGGTTTATATTTTAAAATTTCAAATTTAGAAATGATGTAAATTTGTAAAATTAAATTTTTTACCTAGACCAACTGGTACGCAGCAAAAGAGCATTGCGAGATGAATGGGACAGTTTTGGCTTCGATAAAAAATGGAGAGGAACTTGCTCAGCTGGGCAATTCCCTTCCGAACAAATTCAGTATGAAAACAGATTTAACAAAAATTTCCATTTTCAAATAAAAGATTTTTAGGAAACCATTACTGGTTGTCCGGCAGCAACATCGGACAACCGGCTGAGCGATTTGTGTGGTTGGACGGAAGGCGAGTGGACAATTCTTGGTGGGACAAAAGGGACGGCGAGCCGGACAGTTATTTCACAGGCAGGGAAACGTGCGTCCGGCTGCACTGGGCGAAACTGTGGGACACTTATTGCACCGATTCCACCTACTTTATTTGCGAAAAACCCTAACAAAAATTGATTTAAAAAAATTGCAAAATTCTTTTACGAAATTGTGGGAAATTTTAAAGGATAAAAATTAAAGGATAAAAAAATTAAATATAAAAAATTCCGTAGTATTTTTACCAGTTTTCTATTTTTGCAGTGTTTTTAAATGAAAATAATTCATTGCAGACCTTCAATTTTAAGTTCACACAACAAAACGTAAAAATTTATCAACAATATTTCCTTTTTATTTTAATTTATTAAGTTTAACCATGGAAAATGCAGATTTTTCTTTCAATTGAAGCAAAAAATAAGATAATGTTTGTTTTTCTGAATTAAAAATGCACATTTGTTTTTAATATTGGAATTTTTGCCAATGAGTCAATTTAGGGATAAATGATTCAAACAAAATTAAAATCGAGACTTCTTGCCCCTGCTTTCAGTTTAAAACAAAAAATTGATGTTCATTATTCTAAAAAAAAAAAACATTCACCAAAACATTTTTTATTTACATAAGAGAACACACTATCAAATTATTTTTATTTTGGTGGGGTCTATTTTGTACTTGTGTAAATATTCATTAAATGAAACAGTTCAATTACAAATTAAATTTCATGCGAACTTTCATAAATCTCTAGTTAATTTCCTTTTAGGATGCGAGGATTTGGTAAAATAGCTGTAAAAATAAGCCGGGCCGAACACATTTTACGAAAGTAATGAAAAAGCGGGGATTTGTTTCATTTTCAACAAAAAATAAATTATGTACGCGCGCCCGGCTGAAATCCATATTTTCAGAGCGCAGGGTAATTTTGTAAACGAGGCTGGCATCGATTCGCTCGCTCTCTCACCTGCTCACTCTAAAAAGTGAAGAGATGGATTTTTGCGCTAACGAGAATTTTGCTCGTCATAAAACGGCGACGCACTTTTTGCACTGTCGTAAAAGAAAACGAAAAGCGTCAAAAGCGCCGAGGGCAGATTAATCTGCTGCCTATAATATTATACGATGGCAGGCTTTATTAGTAATTATATATATCGGCGGGTGAAACAAAAAGTCGCAAAAAGACAGTCTAATTTATTGCAGCCGAGATCTTCACCTAAATGATGCGAATTTCTTGCGAGGCGAAATCTGGTCGCGGAGAGGCGGAAATTCCACCACTTGTGCGTCCGGCTTTGTGATTTATTTCGTCTTTTTTCCAACTTTTATCATCCTTAAGGAGTTCTCTGGCTTTTTACTCTACCGCCGAGAGGGTTTAAAAAAATGAAGCGAAATGTAAAGAAATTGTGAGTCTAAATTTTTACTTATATTCCAGAAAAATGAAGCTCCTTTGGAATTATTTACAAAATAAAAAAAATAAAATTTAAATACATATTCAAGAATAAGTCATAGTTTTTGGTAAAAATATATTTTTTATTTATTTAAGCAGATTAATTTGACCAAATTTTCTAGAGGGTTAATTTTATTTTTAAATAATTTCCAATAATAGCATTTTAAAATTTTAATTTTCGCTCCAAAATTTATCTTTTCTTTTCAATTTAAATGATATCAGAAATTTATATAATTCGTTTCTGTTAATTTAATTCCAGTTATTATTATTATTATTTTTTTTAATAATATTATTTTATTAGAGATTCCATTCAAATTTAAGTTTCATTCCAATTCAGTCAGTAGATCATAAATTCAGAATTTCGTCACCTCTTTTTTACCAACGTTTATTTTCTATTCTATCCTGCCCCATTATTTAGAATAATAAAATTCCAGCCGTACTACTTATGGACTTTGAATATCACTTTCCAACACGTCAAATGCCGTTTTCCGCAAATGATTGATGACCCGCTTCGGTATATAAAAATAAAAACGCAAATTTATACTTACAAATTGACCTCGCATGAAAAAATAAAAACAGCAAATGTATTTTTCTGCTTACCTGAAACACAAGAAACAAAGTTGGTTAGAATTTTTTTTTTCAATTTTCTACTTTAACACTTCACATCATTCAAAGGACATAAATTTTCTTTGCGATATGAAAGCAAACTCTCTCAATCAACACAAAAGAGTTCACGCTCGACATTTGCAGTTTCATAAAAATCGCACGTGCGCTCACAATTTCTCTACCGAGTGCAAAAATAACATAAAAAAATGGCAAACGAGGCGATTTTATTTGAGCCAAGCCGAGTGGAAATGATTTGCGCGCTTTCACATATTCTCGCCGCGTTTTTATTTTTATAACGTTTCACTCGGGCACACGAGTTATTTTAAATATTTTCCCCTGGGACTTTCAATATCAAAAATATCAAATTTCCTGGGGGAAAAATGCAACATTTTTGCCAGATAGAAACCACTAATGGTAATAATTCTCAAGACTAAAGCTCTGCTCTTTGGCGGTGGAGAACAATGGAATTAATGCGCATAAGCCGATTTGCATGAGCGAACAATTGGCGGAAGCGCGACAGATACATATAAAATTCAGAGAAAAGCACCAGCGTGGAAATTTAAATGTGAGATTTGGGCTGGAAAGGGAATGATTAAAAAAAAATGGACAGTTCCATAAAATACTTGATTTTGGTAGAAGTATGGAGTAAATTTATTTTCCGAAAGAGCTTCATGAAGTAGTTTAAACAGATTTTGATAAATAGACTAGAGTAAAAATCCATATTCTGACATGTATCTTTTCAAATTTGATTGCTAACAATTTAGAATAAAACGGACTTCTTTTATGAAAAAAGACCAGTTTTGTAGAATTTACTTTCTTCATTGATAATTTAAATGTTAATGGGATTCTTTTACATATTTTTTCTTAATTTAGATTTTAAATATATTTTCTGATTGAAAATGGTTTGGATTTGAAAAATCAAGCATACATTTTCTTAATTAGACTTTGGTATAAAAAAGCTGTTTCAAATTTTCGAAATTAAAGCAAAATCAAAACTTTTTGAATTAATTTTACTTGAAATATTTATTTTTACTATTAAAAAAACGTTCGTTTGCTCAAATTAAGTTTCTTTAGTAATTGATACAAACTTCCCACATCCGCCCACTCGCAATGATTGGAGATAACAGGCCAGTGTGGGATGTTGGAGTTGCGGCTTCAGCAATTCTCCGTCCTTAAATCCACATTCGCTGTTTGCTTGTGTTGGAAGTCACGCGTTTTGCGGCCCAAAGTCCTGGTGTGGAATAATTATTTTATTCCTCTCTTAATTTGTTTGTTTTGACTGTGGCTGTGTCATCGGAGAACTTCATTGTTTTTTTTATTATTATTATTCAATTAATTTTCGGCTTACAATTAAATTCATTTTTTAAGGGCTTTCTTTTTAATTATTTTTTTTTATTTCTGGCAATTGTTTTGAGTTGAATTCTTTTAAATAAATATTGCGTTTATTTTAAATTTAAAGTAGCTTTAAATTTACAAATAATTATTATAAATTCAATTGGAATTAGCTTGTACAATTCATGGGATTCCAATTCACTTCAAGGGAATTTATAAAGGCATTTTGGAATTCAACTGCAGATTCACAGAACTTTCTAGATGCATCTAGAAAGTTCTCAATGTAAATCAAATGGGTGGGTGGGTTTTGCGCGACCCTCCCAGGGCTGCTACCCGCGCTATAAAAGGCGCTCCGTCCGCTGGCTCGATGCAGAAGGCTGACAGACCTCAGAGAAATCCGAGGACACCTGGACTTCCAGTGCAGTTTCGGACACCCGTCCGAACCCTTCGCACTCGTCCGAGCCGTCCCAAGGCCCCGACCGCTGTCTTGTCCCGACGCTGTCTCGTCCGAGGACAGCCGGAAGGCCGACCGCGTCCCGAGCCCCTCGAGCGGCACGCCTGTGTCCATCGTACTGTCCGGGGTGTGGCCGAGCCGTCCGAAGCCGTACGGAGCAGTTTTGCCAGGTAAGAGAAATTACAATTGTTTCTCCCTGAGGCCTTCTTTTGGCCGAAAGGTCAAACCACTACGTGAGACGGAAGTACAGCCGAGTGACCTATTGTTTATGTCCCCAGCTCCTTCCTGTCCGAGGAATCGGGCGCCGACGTGGCACGCCGCCAGCGAGCGCTCGGACGAAGGCGTCCGAACGTCCGCCGCCAGAGACCCGCACGCCGTGGGCCCCGGCCGCGCCGAGAGCCGCCGCCGACCTGCAGGGAGCCGTCCGGGTTCCCAGCAAGGACGTTTCCAGGGCAGCCTGCCGGCCTACCCAGGGAACACCGCTCCCATTTGTTGATTTTTAAGTGACACTATACGGACAATTTCGAGCCAGTGAATTTACCCTATCCAGCCAGAATTGTTGTGAATACAATAAAGCCCGTGTGTAAGCCAACTTGCATTGTTTTAAACAATTACAAATTAATCATAATAATTTACACAATAGAAATTACTGAACAATTACCCATTAATAATTTATTAAGCAATTAAATAATCAGTCAGTATAATCATATGCAAACCCCTTACTTGCAACTTCTTATTATCATTTTGGTTTGCAATAAACTAAATTTGTAATACCAATTGGCGATCCTGGCACTCCTGGGGATTATACTGACAAACAAAATAAACAATTAAATTACAATTTACACAATTTTTACAACTTTATTTTGTTAAAATACAATGGCAGACAAAGAACAACTGTCTACTTTATTTTTAAATCAAATTCATTTTGAACCCCTGGCTTGTGAGCAGACAACAACGGGGTGTGACCCTGGAGGGTGTGACCCTGGAAAGACTCTACAGCTGTACAAGTCGGACGACAACGACCCAATTGCACAAATTTCCCTCCCACTTCAACAACAACAAACACTTCTTTCTTGCCAATACCAGCAGTACACTCAGGTGGATGTCCTGCACCCTCAGGAGCACCTCCTCCCCTTGGACGGCGCATCACAGGTTGGCCAACTGCTGCCTGAACACCCAGTGTCCCACATCAATCATAACGAGGCGCTAAAACCAGATGTACTCACAGAGGGACCTGAAAGAAAAACTGGTCAGCAAATATTTTATGACAGATTATACAAACAAACAGAAAACAGGGCAACATCACTACACACTACACAATTGTCCAACCAGACACAAAATGGGCAATATTTTCAACCCAAGTTGGACTTGACATTAATCCCTGTATTCTCTGGAGACAAAATATTGCTGGAGGATTTTCTTATCAGCATTGCTGGATTTTTCACCTACCAACAACTGCAGCCAAAAGATGTGTGGTGGTTGTTACTTTTCCGCACTTCTGGACGAGCAAGGGAGTTTGTTAAGCATCTTGACGAGGCCACCATCAGCAACTTCTCCTCACTCCAGAAAGTTTTTCAAGACGAATTTGAGCCGCCAGTAAGCACCCTGCAATTGCACAGAAAATTTGTAAAAGCCTGTCAGCTTGAGGGGGAAAGTTCAGAGGAATTTTACCTACGATTGAGAGGGCTGGCAGACGAATTGTGGCACCATGAACAACCCATTGTTGGATTAAGTTTAAAACAAAACTTTGACATTAGAGAAGCGGAGTTCCTGCGCATTTTCATCCGTGGCCTACGAGTCGACTTTTATTGGCAGGTGTACATCCAGGAACCAAAATCAATTCTTGAGGCACGCAAAATCGCCATTCTCGTTGAGGAAACTGCTAACAGCATTAAGGAAAGATTAGATGAAGACTTCAAGCAGGCAAACGAACCAACTCACCAATACTGTCCTCCAACCCAACGAAGAGCAGTAAACCTTCCTCAATTTTATGCTTCCCAGAACCACTCCCCAACAAGCCAGAGCTGGCCAGGACCATCGGCTTCTGCTCCAAATTTGCATTACTCTTCGGCAATCCTTCCTCCAGTCGGTCTCTTTGACTTCCAGCATTGGCCACCTGCGGCAGTGCTTCCACCACTTCCGTCAAATTTCCACGAGAAGGCAGAATTCAGTTCATCCAGAATACCTTCTCACCTGAGGGGGAGCGAGGAAAATGTAAATGAAAGTGACGCAAATTTTGCAGAGAATTTATTTACCAACCATGCTTGCAACTCCAATTCTCGCCCTCACTTCTCCACACACTCAGACAAGACGGATATTGTCCATGCCCACCGACCATCCGCCAGCAACGACCACGTCCCTTCTGCGACTCGTAGAGAGAAACGTCGACGGAAAAGAAGATTCAAGCGACGACAACAAAGGGCTTCTAAAGCGATCTTGCCGTGCCGCACAGTGTCCAATCAAGTTTACGAAGACAAAATTTCTGCAAATGAAGAGCAAATCTTGAGTGCATTGGGCCGGTTAATACTGCCAAAACTTACCCCACCTGCTGACCACATCGCCCAGCGTGCATTTACTCGCCGACGGCGCCGCCGACAACCGACAGATAAGGCCGAATTTGCCATTAAAACTCCCACACAAAAAACCACAACGAGTGCGGCAAATAAACAACGTGGGCCAGCTGTTATCTGTGGCGGCCAAAAAGTCAATGAACTTTTCGCAAGAGGGGGAAGAAAAATCAGCAGGAGAGAGATGAGAGTGGCGCCACAACCAAGTTCGCCATCAAGCCAGGAGAGGGAGAAGGAAAAATCAGCACACAAAGAACCAAGACCTCGCCCTCGCCGCATGCGAAAAACAACAACAACAAGGCCGGATTCACGCGTGATTATGGTGCCCACGACGTTTTTCCTTGAGGACAGCGCCAGCTCAGGATCTGCACAGTCTACGTGCAGTACGTCGTCCTGGCAATCGTCCTGGAGATCATCCAGTCACAGCTGACCACAGCCGCCAGTCAAAAGAGGGGGATTTGGTGTGGAATAATTATTTTATTCCTCTCTTAATTTGTTTGTTTTGACTGTGGCTGTGTCATCGGAGAACTTCATTGTTTTTTTTATTATTATTATTCAATTAATTTTCGGCTTACAATTAAATTCATTTTTTAAGGGCTTTCTTTTTAATTATTTTTTTTTATTTCTGGCAATTGTTTTGAGTTGAATTCTTTTAAATAAATATTGCGTTTATTTTAAATTTAAAGTAGCTTTAAATTTACAAATAATTATTATAAATTCAATTGGAATTAGCTTGTACAATTCATGGGATTCCAATTCACTTCAAGGGAATTTATAAAGGCATTTTGGAATTCAACTGCAGATTCACAGAACTTTCTAGATGCATCTAGAAAGTTCTCAATGTAAATCAAATGGGTGGGTGGGTTTTGCGCGACCCTCCCAGGGCTGCTACCCGCGCTATAAAAGGCGCTCCGTCCGCTGGCTCGATGCAGAAGGCTGACAGACCTCAGAGAAATCCGAGGACACCTGGACTTCCAGTGCAGTTTCGGACACCCGTCCGAACCCTTCGCACTCGTCCGAGCCGTCCCAAGGCCCCGACCGCTGTCTTGTCCCGACGCTGTCTCGTCCGAGGACAGCCGGAAGGCCGACCGCGTCCCGAGCCCCTCGAGCGGCACGCCTGTGTCCATCGTACTGTCCGGGGTGTGGCCGAGCCGTCCGAAGCCGTACGGAGCAGTTTTGCCAGGTAAGAGAAATTACAATTGTTTCTCCCTGAGGCCTTCTTTTGGCCGAAAGGTCAAACCACTACGTGAGACGGAAGTACAGCCGAGTGACCTATTGTTTATGTCCCCAGCTCCTTCCTGTCCGAGGAATCGGGCGCCGACGTGGCACGCCGCCAGCGAGCGCTCGGACGAAGGCGTCCGAACGTCCGCCGCCAGAGACCCGCACGCCGTGGGCCCCGGCCGCGCCGAGAGCCGCCGCCGACCTGCAGGGAGCCGTCCGGGTTCCCAGCAAGGACGTTTCCAGGGCAGCCTGCCGGCCTACCCAGGGAACACCGCTCCCATTTGTTGATTTTTAAGTGACACTATACGGACAATTTCGAGCCAGTGAATTTACCCTATCCAGCCAGAATTGTTGTGAATACAATAAAGCCCGTGTGTAAGCCAACTTGCATTGTTTTAAACAATTACAAATTAATCATAATAATTTACACAATAGAAATTACTGAACAATTACCCATTAATAATTTATTAAGCAATTAAATAATCAGTCAGTATAATCATATGCAAACCCCTTACTTGCAACTTCTTATTATCATTTTGGTTTGCAATAAACTAAATTTGTAATACCAGTCCCACAACATCCTCGTTTCAAACGAGCTCATTTTTCTCGCCCCGAGCTTCTCATGTTCACAACAAACGCCGTCAAAGAGTCTCTATTCTGCGGTGGTGGCAAAACATTTCTTCTGTACAACTAATATAAATTTCCATCGCAGCAGTTCAAGTTAAACAACGTGCCAAAAAAGTCACTCTGCAAAAGGAAAATGCAGCGACGAGGTTTACACAACGATGGAAACCAAATTATAACTAAACCGGTCAAAGAGAATTTTGTTTTTTTATTTTAATTTGCTCCAAAATATATTCTGAAAATTGATATCATTGCTAATTGTGTATTTCTGATTTTATGCAAGTATAGAAGCGACATTCTTTAAAGTAAAAATATTTTTTTGATTTCTTTTTAGACTTATTAGGACTTTTTAAATTTTAAAATGCCAATATTTAATGGATTTTATTTTTCACTATACATTTTGGTTCAAATTTTCAGAGAATTCAATCAGAAACTTTGATTTTATACAATTTTAGAATAAAAAAATAAATTTAATTTAATATTTGATGATAAATGTTGTCAAAAATTTTAGAAAAAAAAATATTTAAACTTAATAAATTAGCAATTTCAATTATTTCCTTTGGGATTTCATTAAAAATGAGTCTCAAAAAGTATTATTTTTAAATATTTTGCTAAAACCAACTGAACCTTATACTTTTCCAACTAAATGTTGAAGCTCTGAAGTCGCCTTTTATTCTAAATGTTTCCATAATTTTTCAACTCTCGATGAGCCATTTTCTTTGCACACTTTGCCAATTTGCAAGTCGGCCAACGGCAAAACCACTTAGTCGTAAAGTATCGAGATGCAGGCCATTATTATTATTACCATTTCCGTGCCGGCTTAATTGGCTCGTCGACGTGCGCGGCTTTGCACATTGCCCACGAAAACACATGCAAAGCAGACCAGAGAGAGATGATCCGCGGCTGCTTTTAATTAATTCCGGCCGCAGCGATTTTAATTACGCAAGGCGCCTTTCCACCAAGATCGATTCAAAAGTTGTCTACTTTTCCAGCATCAAACGAGAGATCAGAGTTGCGTGCTTTTTGCATTTCTTTGCGAGAAGTTAATCGGGCGTATTTTGACGGCCTGTCGGAACATGTGGTGGAGAAATCGCACCTGCTCAAATCCGTTTGAGATTTCCTGCTGGATACTGGAATTATTTCCTCTTGTTTGAATCAACAAAATTGGCGAAATTTTCATTTTAAATAAATTATTCCGTTGGTAAAAATGGCTAATAATTTCAAAATTATTTAATTGTTTAAAAAATGTAAAATAAAACTCTTTTTTTTAGAGACTTTATTAATAAAAATTAAAGAGTTTAATATTTTTTAGTAATTTAAAAAAAGAAGGTTAAAAATTTTTACGAGTTTTTTAAAGTTCAATTTTTTTCCCTTCATATTCATATTAATCCATCTTCAACTTGAAACTTTTGGTATCTCTCGTTAAAATAAAAACCTAATTTGTTCTTGAAACACAGTTTTACATTATTCTCGGCGGCAAACGGCGTCAAATTAAGTGACATTCGGATTGAGAGATAAAAGTTTGTAGCAATGGCGAGCGCAGCCGGCACACGCAGACGATGAATTTTTCATTTTCCATTTGCAGTCGCCGGGCGGAGACGGGCCCGAGTAAGAGAGCCAATTTGTAACGTCGCACTAAATTACGCGGAATTTTACGCAGTAATTTTTTATTCGCAGCCCAGCGTGGAGAGTGGCACATCTTCCAGAACTCGTAACAAACTCGGCCCAACTCAAACTCGCTCGCGCGCGACAATAATTAGACCTGATTTTGAACCTTCACAACACCCCTATTTAATCCAACTTGCAATTTTATAAAGAAGCAGTTCGAGATTTTATTGTCTCGTAACAAAATACTAAACTTTTCAAGAAAGATTATCAAGAAAATGAATTTTAAAATATTTGAATTTATTTATAATTGAAATAACAAAAAATTATTATAAACTAATTTCAATGCCAAAATATTAAAAAAAGTTATTTAAATCATTTAGATAATTTTTGGAAATTTGTCTTTTGAAGTTCAGCCATTGATTCAATTTAAATATATAGTTTTTTTGTGTTTAATTTTTGCTGTTTTGTTATGCTGTTTGCATTGTGCAAAAGTTTTAATGAAAAATAATTGCGGGCAGCTGATGAAAAATCCGATTATTCCGCAAAGCCGCAGAAAAAACAACTCGTCTCTCTCATTGCTGCACGTCGACAGAAGAACGCGAACAATGCGGATTTGTAATTAGAGAGAGCGAGCGACACTAATGAATACATTTGCATCGAGAAGAAATGCAAATTCGCCGGGGGTCAAAAAGAGAAGCAAAAATCTATTTCATTCTCGGAGAGATGGTGAATAATTTCGTCGCTTAATTTTCGCTTCGCTGCTGGATAATTACAAATTGCGACGCCTGCCCGGGATAATTTATCACAAGATGGGCGAGAAACTTGGCTGTGCTCCTATTAACCCCCAGACCGCCCTTGCGCTGTTTATTATATAAATAAATCACCAGAGCGCGAAAATTCGAGCGTCAACTCATTAAAAGCGAAATAAATCGATGCATGATTAAGTTGTCGAACGGAAAATAAGTCATTTCGCAGAGGATCAAACCTACGCTGGGAAAATTTATTTTTATTATAATCATTTTTTTAATTAGTTCAGAAATATGGATGGTTAAAAGATGAAAAAGATAAAATAAAATTTAAAAATCATGTTTTTTTTAGTAGAAAATTGTTCTAACATTTTCCCACTAGATTAATATAAATTTTGAGAATTCTGATTGAAAACCGTTAAAAAATTACAATAATTAATAAAATAAACAATAAATATGATAAATATTTGCAAATTCTTCAACAGTATTAGGCTAAATTTATGCAACAAATGAATTTGGCAAAATCCTTTTTGATAGTCCTTGACGATCTCATTGATTAAAGTTGGCATTTTCAAATGTTATTCATATATTTGCGTTCCACTCGAAAGTAATTGAATTTAGCGACGGCCTGTTCTCTGTCTCTCTCTCTCGAATGACTCAATTCCCATTTGGCCGAGCTCATTTTTCTGCTCGAGAAGAGGAATTTTTCAATTTGGCTCATAAGCTTTTTCGCTCTCTGCAACTATCAGTCGGCGCAGCGAGTGAGGTTGAAAAATTAATTCCGCGTGTAACACATCAGAGCAAAAAGTTAAATAAAAAAGGGCGAAATAGAGAAGCACGCTCTTCACAAATCCAGAGAGCAGAGAGGTCGGCGCAAAACAAAAGCGCGCGGTCGGCTCAAATCCGCAGACTCTTCCGACGGCGCCTCAAAAATCCAGCGGCGACCCGAATAAAAGCAAAAAATAAAAATATAAACACGGTGAGGCCGATTCGTGAGCTTTCAAAAATCGGCCGGCTTTGGGTTCGGGTCATTCGAACGTGACCTGGCACTGGAAAAATAGAGGTTGACGCTTTTTTCCTGATAAATCCGGATCTTTACATTATATGGTAGGAAAAAGTAGGAAAAGTATACAAAGAAAGCATTTTCATGTGAAAAAGATTTAAAAAATACATCCTCTCTTATCTTAAATATTATGTTTAATATAATTTTTATGTTTTTTTAGCAGAAAAAATTGTCAAAATTAATATAAATTTTGGGAAAGCACTTTAATTTGTTATCATTGTTTTTAACTTTTGATCTGATTCAGTTTTAGGTTTCTCAAGTTTTTGAAAAGAAAAAAATATATATTTAACTTATTTATAATTGTGGATTACTTTAAAATTTTATTCAATATCTCGAACATTCCAAGAACATTTTTGGAGATTTGTAATTTTTTCTTAAAATTTGTCCATTTTTAGAGCGCTAAAATATCATTAGAAACTTCAAGGAAACTAACATTTCAAAAAAATTAAAATAAACGCTGTGCAATAAATACTTGATTACTATACAAATCAGTAATAAATTTAAAATTTTAGGGAGAAAAGTTATAGTATAAATAATGTTATTTTCGTGTAATTAGAGAAATTGTCATAAAAAAGAAATTTCCTTATGTTTGTTATAGAAATTTTTTAATAAAAAAATTTATGTTTTTGATGATTATTTATTTTTACTGCCAGGGAATTTTCCACCACATTGGCTATTGTGTTGAGTGAAGAGGCCTCGGCGCTCCAGGACAAAAATGAGGCGACACGTGATTGTCCCTGGGGAGGGAGCTGCATAGCCCTTGATCCGGGGTGTGTTTCGTGGCCGAGCAGCTTCTTCTTCACCCGCGCGCACTTATCTCACGTTGCCACTCGCCCGGCTGGCGACGCTAATAAAATATGTGCGCGCGATGGATGGCCCGATAAGTGGCAACGTGACAAGCGAGCGCCTAATTATCCGGCCGCGTAATTGCAACCGCGGCCAAATCGTGCGTGAGCCACTTCATTTCAGCCAAACTCTACCAACGCGAACTCTCGGATCAACCCAAAAGTCAACACTCGTTTTTACCTCAATAACTTCCAAAGAGGAAAGGTTGATAGATTCGCAACGTTGATCTTTTCTTCATTTAATCAATATTTAAAGCCTGACACACTCAAAAATTTTTAATTATAATTGAGAAAGAACATTAAATTTCATAAACGGTGATAAAATCACGATTGAAAAATTTAGTTGCAAATTGTGTTTATTGATATATCACAAAGGCAATTGCTGCCCATAACGGGATACATCATTCATACATTACACTCTGAAATGCCGAAATCAAGTGGTTTGTTTTTCCCACCAAAAGAATTGGAATTACAATGGAGGGCCAATATGAAGGAAAC